AGAAGACAAAGGAACTTCTTGCAGAATTCCAATGAATAAGCATAGAAGACCTTTGGTGGCATAATGGATAAGGCATTTGGCTGCTAACCAGAAAGTCAGTGGTTCAAACCCACCAGCCACTCCACAGAAGGAAGGTGGGGCAATCTAGTTCCATAAAGATTTACAGCCTCAGAAACCCAGTGGTCGCTATGAGTTGGAGCCAACTCGATGGCAGTGGGTTTTGGTTTTGAAATATAGAAGAAATTATTAAAATAGAAAATACCATCTGGTAAACACCTCAGTAATAGTATCATAAGTAATAATTGTCATTCAATATGAAAATTAGTAAGCCAGAGTATGGAGAAGAGAGTACCTGCAGTCTCAAAGTATCACCCTATGAGAAACTCATCGTAAAGGGTTCCAGAGTTAATTTCACAATAGTAAAGAACGGAAGGAAATGTGTTAAGTTTGAAAAATAAGACAAAATAATACTCTTACTAAGTAATGTTTGCATTTACTGAGACATCCACAAAATAACATCCACAAAACCATGAAAAAAAACATAAAAGTACTTTTGCTAAAGGGTATTCCCTTATTTGTAAACAGGCAAAAACTTAATAAACAATGATGAGGATGGTCCCATAGTTACAGTAAAACAGTCATTTCTCCCAAAGGCACAAAGTAGTCCTCACAGCCCCTTCTCTGAGTTAACATTACTTTCTTACTCACTGAGAAACTTTGTTCTTTAAGTGGAAATTTTCAGAAATTTGATGTTTGAAATTCTAACAATAAGGAAGAAACATCCCATTTAGTGTGTCCACTCTGAGTTCTTATATATTAAGTAAAGTGTGAGGAACAACTACAGGCTTGCTCACATCTTCCATCCAGAGGACCGCTCTCCTTGCGTGTTCTCCTATGTTTAGTGAGGGCTGAGGATTCTATAAAGGCTTTCCCACGTTACTTACAGTCACAAGTCCTCTCTCTACTCTGAGTTCTTCTGTGTTTAGTGAGAGGTGAGGAATCACTGAAGGCTTTCCCACAATGATTACATTCATAAGACTTCTTTCTCTCCACTGTGAGTTCTCAAATGTACAGTGAGGGCTGTGGCATGAGTAAAGGCTTTCCCACACTCCTTACGTTCATAAGGCCTCTCTCCACTGTGAAATCGCATATGTGCAATGAGGCTTGATGTGTGACTAAAGACTTTCCCACATTCCTCACATTCATGAGGCTTCTCTCCACTGTGAACTCACATGTGTCATGAGGTTTACGGCGTGATTAAAGGCTTTGCCACATTTCTTACTTAAGGCTTCTCTCTCATGTGAATTTTAGTGTGTTCTGAGAGGCAATAAGAACGACTAAAGGTTTTCCCACATTCCTTACATTCATAGGGCCTCTCTCCACTGTGAGTTCTTATATGGTTAGTAAGATAGGAGGAACGTCTAAAGGTTTTCCCACATTCCTTACATTCATAAGGCCTTTCTCTATTGTGAGTTCTTCTATGTTTATACAGGGTTGAGGGATCAGTAAAGTCTTTCCCACATTCCTTACATTCGTAAGGCCTCTGTCCATTGTGAGTATTCATATGTTGAGTGAGGTACGATGAACACCTAAAGGCTTTTCCACATTGCTTACACTTATAAGGCCTCTCCCCACTGTGAATTCTCATATGTGAAGTGAGGTCTGAGGAATCCCTAAAGCCTTTCCCACATTCCTTACATTCATAGGGCCTCTCTCCACTGTGACTCATTATATGTCTAGAGAGGTGTGAGGGCTTATTAAATGCTTTCCCACATTCCTTACATTCGTAACGTTTATCTCTGTTGTGAAATTTCTTATGTAAAATGAGAAATGAAGGATGGCTATACGTTTTACAACATTTTTTACATTCACTCTTATGACCACTCACATGTGTCCAAAAGGAGGAGAAACTACAGAAATCTTTCCCACATTCATTACATTCATAGCGTTTCTCACCAGTGGCTGTTGTCACGGGATTCTTAAGAGTTGAGATACAAATGAAGTTCTTCCCAAATGCTTTACATTTATGGGGTTTCTTTCCATGAAGCGTTCTCACAGGAGTGGTGAGTTGAGAGGGACAACTGCAGGCTTCTCCATGTTCCTGACATGGACATGCATTCCCGCTGGTTTGAGAGCTGGTGTGATGCTTATGTGATGAGTCATCCATGGAAGCCTTTCCATATGCACAG